AAAACCCCTAAAAGAAATAAAGTATAAAAAAGACGCTTGAAGTGAAATCAGAATTAAACACGTGCAACATATTTCTTTGCTGTTCTCGTACATTCTAGAAGAGTGCAGAGGACAACATTTCGGCACGATTATATCTGAAAAGAAGCTTCTCAGCCTACCTGAGCAACACTTGGATTTGAAGCAACAAGTATGCGCGGTAGCAACCTCTGAATTACCCCTTGTCACATTCAGTCGACTGGAAAGTCTTGACAGCAACTATGCATGTGAGGAACCCTCTGTCACGAATTTGCAAAACCACGTCATCAGCCCTTTTCAAAAAAGAATACAAGCCGGTTGTCAAAATGGAAGTCGCATCAGCAGTGGCGGTGCTACAAGACACTAGAGAGTTATTACTGGTTGTTCGGACCTACTTTGAAATTGCAGACTGGAGTAGAGGCGTACTGACAAGGTCGGCATTCCTAAGATATAGGAACATTATAAGTTTATGAACCGGTTTCTTTATCTGGAACAATTCACACTGTCATTTCACCCTTGATTTCTCCTGCCTTATGCATTTTATAGGACTTATTGTATCAACGTATTACAATATTATCCACAAATACATAAGAACTTACAGAAGACTTTCTGTTATCATTCTGCTGTAATGATGATGAATTGTTTGTTTCAGGGAACAAGAAGGAAAACAAATTGATACAAATTGAAGATATCACGAAATCAGCAGAGTTAGGCTTAACTCTCTATTTCCAAGCACATCTACACCCCAGTGCTTTACACTCCAGAGCCTGCTTTGTGAATGTGTTTGTCTTAATTTTATATATGTGTTCTGAGAGTTGGGGTCCGCACGGTGGTGACTATGAAGAATACTAGAAACAAAAAACAAACTCCGTGGTTTTAGTCGGCAAGCGAACTATACCGACCGAGCGACAGAAGCTCGTCGGAGAAGTTAGTACCAACTTTAGCGGATAGAAGGAATTGAGTGGTCAGCGCAACGAATCCCCACGGCCGTTAATTTCGGTTTTCTAGACCGGACTACTGGCCTTTGGAATATGAAGCCGTGTAGTCTGGTTAACAGCTACCAAAGTGAATGCCCTGAAGGTAGATTTTCCAAACGACAACAAATATTTTTTAGAGTTCAAGGCGTCACATCCAAAAGATATGAACCTTTAATTCTTTGCAGTCTCAATTTCACTAATAATTTCGTTTCTGATTCATAATTTTTTATGCATCGAATAACGTAATTAGGTGTTGTATCTCTGAAAAATGAAAAACAAGGTCTAGAAGAGGAAGAAATATTTTCGAGCAATCTTTAGGGAAATACTAAAACTTTCGGCTTTAAATTTGGTAAATATTTTAAGTTGATTCTGGCCTTGTGCCTTTTTACCGTACGGATATTTTTCCGGCATTTCAGGGATACATGCGGCATTCATCTGACCAATGACCCTGAAGATGGAGACAGCATATATTTCCGAAACGTCGAAAAATTGTACATATACACGTTGCAAAGAACCAAGAACAGAAATAGTGTCAGTCTTTAAGACAGTTTATTTGCTAAGCGAAGTAGGTAAAGCATCGTTTTTCGCAGGTAACATGTGGCGTGTGCAATGCGTTCTAAATAAAAGTCATCAACTGTCACTGCAAGCGTGTAATGATAAGAAACCATGACGTCACGCAAAGTATATGTGCACAGTGTAACTAAGTGTTCGACTACACTACTGATTGCTATTTACATCTCGAACTCAACCATACAGGCAAATAAACTGAATTGATCTACATAAAAGCGTTGTCACTCCTTGAGTTCAATGTTTCGTGACTGAAACTTGTATACAGCCATAGTTCTATGCAAATAAACTCTAAAAAATACGTCAGTTTTAATTTGCCCTTCTGTAGGCTAATGACCTACATACGTAGGTATTTATTTCAGCAGGAATATCACCAGCTGTGGTGTTTCCGACTGATTAGGCCCACTAAATATGTACACAAGGAACGTTTATGCATGAAGCTTACTTAACTTCCAGCTAAAGACCTCAAGCAAGTCATATTACGTAATATAAGTATTGTATAATGACTGGTCACGGGCTGGACGGCCTGGGAGTTCAATCCCCGTCAGAAGCAAGAAATTCTTCTCACCTCCACACTATCCAGACTTGATCTTGGACCTATCCAGCTTCCTAGCTGATTGATACCGGGGGCTCTTTCCCTAAGGGATAAACAGCAGGGAAATTGAATAAATAATTTTATTTTAGTTTGTTTCAAATTGATATGCAAATAATTTAAATGTGGGCCCCTTGAACGTGCAGATTTTTGTTAGGGGGTTTGCGGACCCGATAAACGCTTTAGAAATTTTGCACTTTTCCTTGGGTGAAGGACCGGTCCATAGAAGGATCCTAATTGAGACAGGATAAAATAACAGAGAAAAGCATGTACACATTCCCGAACTCAGTTTCAACTGCTGATCCTCCTTTTCGAGTGAACTCTAACGCAGGCGGTATCAACCGCGTTATCCTTCTAAACGAAAAACCTGACTCTCATTAATGACGTAAGTAAAGGACGGCCGGCGCGAAATGCTGACAACCTTACCGCCATCTGTGAGCCGACTCTCTAGACAATGTGGGAGCCTCGACGTCTCGCAATCTTATGGGCTTCCACACCCTGTTACAGGAATAGCTATATATATATTTTTTTTACTCCATGCGTTCGGATAACTCTTCCAGGCGGCAAATGTGTTCTCCATGACGTCTCCTATACATCAGCAGCTGATAAATAAACGAATCTATAAATGCCAACACTAAGTGTTCATTTATCCGTTGTTCTGGTTTGTGGGGTGTCATCTTGACATAGATGACCGGTGACGGGTGATGACGGCTTGTGACATGATATGAATGGCGAGTTTTATGACAATTGTTCCTTAGTTCGACAATACGTAGACAAGCAGGGGCATGAACAGGATGATAATATAGTAATGAACTGTTGCATAAGCCTTTCATTTCGGTTAAGAAACAGCGCCAAAACTACGAAGATTATTGTCTTTTGAATTATGACATCCTGTATTTTGGTAAAACTTAAAGGTATTCCTGTAACAGGCCATGGAGGCCCATAGGGTTGTGAGACGTTGAGGGTTCCACATTATCTAGACAATCGGCTCAAAGATGGCGGTAAGGTTGTCAGCCTTACGTGCGGGTCGCCCTTTATCTCCCAGGGAGCTTCCTGGTACTCATTTCTGTTACAGGCTGAGCCGACCCCAGGGCCATAGTGCGGCTGGAGGGATTAAGTCAATTGAAAAAATCCACCTCATCGGGACTCGAACACGGGACCTTCCTGCTTGTACCCTACGATCTAGTGGTCAGAGTTCCTGGTTACAGATCCTGATATCTCGGGTTCGATTCCCGGTGCTACCAAATTTTCTGAGTAGTGGCGGTGGAACGGGGCCCACTTAGCTTGTAGTTTGGTAGGCGGGTAAAAATTTTAAGAACCTGCTGGATTCATATTTAGAGTTAATATCCTACCCTGAGGATGGAAGAAACAGTTTTCTTCGAAACGTCTACACCTTTATATCAGAGTACACTGCATCATATCCGGAAGAGAGTAATATTCGCATTCACCGCTCTGATAACCTTAAAAACTAGAAAATAATAGTTTCGTTGTCCACTTGTAGACAAGAGGATCTTGAGCGTATCCATCTGTATCCAATTTTATTTTTCAGTATGCTTCATTTCAACCAAAATCCCTATTCTGGTAAAAAAGCTGAAGCTTAAGGTTGGTGGAATATTTTAAATACTTTCCGTAATTCGGTTAGAAAATAATTTTTATATTTTTCTCACAATAATATTAGCGATGTCCACTTTGTTGGTCCATATAATATTGTCATGATTCAGCGGTGACTATAGATGGGGTATAGACTGGATATTGGATTTATTGACACAACTCGGAACTACAAGTAATTACAGCGCTATCGCTAAACTCCTCATTTTACAAATCACCGCAGTACCCTTTAAGCCTTTATACAGTCTGTTGTGTCTTTATCAGCCGTTGTTTACGAACAGCTTCTAACAGTGGAGTTTCTACAGCTTCATGCACTCAGGTCCTCTTGTCATAACTCCTTGTGCAAAACTCTTGTCAGCTGACAACTCGACTAACTAGGTCCCTGGGTCCCAGGCTGGTGGCCATTTCGCACCAAGCTCCTAGTCCTCTCTTCACAGGCTGACTTCCAACTAACAACTGGAAACTGAACTCTTTCATTCCCAACCAGATACTTTACGTCACTTCATTCAACTGAACTCCTGACAACTCCACCAACAACTAACTCGATGCTTCAAACTATCCTGCTTATAACATCTCGACACGGACCAAATAGAAAACACCGTTCTTTTATTGTTGCGTTGGTGTCCGTTGCGGCGGAAACTTGTTTACCGAACCGTTGCTTAGAAATATGTTCCATAAATCCGTCGTTCTATTGTTGGGTGCGTTATCCAGCAACGGCAGCTATTTACAGAGTCACTGCTTAGTAACGGGTCTATACGCCACATATTTACATAGGTCCTATGCATATACTCGTATCCCATTTAATAAAAATTTATAAATTTCTATTGCAAAGCTATGGTGTAACTAGTATTTAATTTAGCGTCAAAATTTCATTAACACCACGGCAAGGGAACAGTATCGTAAACAAGAAAAGAGAACGACTTGAGTGTGCAGGACCAGTAGCAACTTACGATACTGCTTCATATTAAATCCATTTTCATACTAAGAAAACCTTGGAAATTATAATTCTGTCGCGTATTATTGTCCAAACTAATCAAACACATAGTAGCTACTGAGTTGACCAATTCACACATGGAATGTCAGCATTATTTACAGAGTAATACCAAAGTCTGGAAGCAGTTTTCTTCAATTATCACATAAAAATGAATTGTTCAAACTTATGGTAGATACACACACATGGTAGCATCATACATATATGCTTAATGTTAGTGTCACCAAAAACAATAATAATATTGTCCTACCTTATTGTCTGCTGGAGGACTTGAAGCGTTCTAAGGTAAACATTTGTACCTAGCAGCGTTGACACGTGTGGTCGAATATGGTACCAACTGAAACAAACATACCATATCCAATTCATTAGTGGACGAAAAGTACGAGTTGCTGTAGCTTCTGTCCGAACTCACAGAAACCGTGGACTGACCGCACCCAAATTTCAATGTTTACAAAGATGTTCATAAACAGATTTCTGGGAACACTTGTTTTAAATTAGAATAAATCCTTTTCGTTGACATAAATATTTTATTCAAAGCTGACAACTTCATGAATTTTAAAAGATAAGTATCCCGCAGACAGTGGTTCGCGTACCATAAACGTGAGATACATTAAAAGAATAAAGCCATAGGAATAAAATACCTTTGTTTCATTTTACAGAACGGAACGACTGGGAATTGTGCAGAATTAGTCATATTTTAATCATGTTTATTACAGTCAGGGACCGCCTCTGTGGTCTAGTGGACAGAGTTCCAGGCTACAGATGCAGAGGCCCCGTGTTCGATTCCCGGCGCTACTAGATTTTCTGAGAAGTAGTGGGTCTGGAACGGAGTCCACTCAGCCTCATGAGGATAACTGAGGAGCTAGAAAACCGAGATTAACAACCGCGGGGATTCGTTGCCCTGACCACGCGACACACACTATTCGCTAACGTTGGCACTAACTTCACCGACAACAGGCGGCCGTTCGGTCGGTACAGTTCGCTTGCGCACTACAGGCCAGGGAGTTATTGTATTACAGTCAGGATTGCTTTTTTTGTTTTCAATATTATTCAGTTAACTATGAATGAATGAAAGCACGAAACATATATAAAGCTCCATCAGAGTGTTCGTCAGACTGTGATCCGTAGACTGCCACAATTCCGCGATTTAAAAATTAATTCATACGCCCGCGTGTGTAACTTTTAATTGCCGAAGTTCAATGTGAGTGATTATGAAGAGCCTTCAAGTTTATTGAAACACAAAAGCATCTGGACGATATGGAGAAGATAAAATTCTTGACCCTACCGGGACTTGAACTCCTACCCCTAAGTCGCCCAGCCCGTAGTCAGTCGCTATACTGACTGTACTATCCCGGCTCCCTATCAACTATTCTACCGTAACAGGCCGTGAAGGCCCATAGGGTTGTGAGACGTTGAGGCTCCCACATTATCTAGACAATCGGCTCAAAAATGACGGTAAGGTTGTCAGCCTTAAGCGCCGGTCGCGTTTTACTCCCAAGGAAAATTATTTAATTAATTCCTGGTACTCATTTCTGTTAGAGGCTGATTCAACCCCAGGGCCATAGTGCGGCTGGAAGGATTAGGTCAATTGAAAAATTCAGTGATCTTATCGGGATTTGAACCCGCGACCTTCCGGCTTGTAGCATAGCCCTTCAACTGGCTGACGGGTGGGCATCTGTGACGCAAGGCCGCTACCACACAGAAGAAATTCTGAAAGACATCCATGTCTCAAGTGCGATTCGAAACCACGATCCCACTGTCTGAGCGGGTGAAGACATTTGAAACCTTAGACCACACGGTGACTGTTATTCGTACTGTAAAACGTGAGGTGTTAATTTCCCGGCAGGTGTCAGGAAAATTTCCATGAAAATGCACCCAGTAGTGGTTTCGGAGTCCGCCACACTTCTGCCCAGTGGTAACAGGATACTTTTCTGCGTATGTTAAAATGGCTGGAGCGTGAAACTGACAGTGCGCCTCCATTTAGTACCTAGGGCAATAATATGTGGAGATAAACCTTCACGCCTTCATACGTTTCATGAACTTGCTCTTCATAATACGGATAATTTACATTTACTTTAACTTGAAATATAATTGTGTCCAAAACTATATTAATGAAGTTTTAAAATAAATCACTAATTCTACGTACTTGCTCCAAGAGTTGCAGTTGTTATAAGTCAGTGGTTCTCAACCTTTGCGAGACCGCGGCCCGGTAAATTCTTCCTTTTTTTTATAAAACTAGGGCCTGGTAGCGGGTCGCGGCCCACCAGTTGAGAAACACTGATATAAGTAATAAGTACTGTCTAGGTGTCTATCGTACACCCTTTCTATATAATTTCAAATGAAAATGGGTATGTTCCAGGCACATTGCGGATATGGTAACAAATTGACAATTACCAACTCTCCTTATGAAAGTCAAACACCGGCCATCTGGCCCGCATGTAACTATCGGTGCTTTGGAGAGTTACATGGCGTTTCCGTTTAAACTATTTAGTATAAAGAATTATGAGAACATTATAATCGGGCAATGCTTGCTGTCATTCAGTTCGCCTGCTATCTAAAAAAACTTGAATCTTTCCTGTAGTTTTGTATCGGTGTGAAACTTTTCCTTCGACATTAAGGTAAGAACATGAATTGAGGGTGTCAGTGTACAGAGTGCTGCTGAAGAGAAAAATTGGACGTAAGGAGGAGAAAATAAAAGAAATTCGGAAGGGTTTCATGACTTGTACTCCTCAACAGATATTATTAGAATGGTAAAAATCAAGTCCAAAGAGATTGACAAGGCATGTAGTACGCATGGGAAATAATTTTAGGAAGGAAATCCTGCGGAAAGAGAACACTAGGAAGCCCTAATATAGATTGGAGAACAATATTAAAACGGATATCAAGTGAAGAGATTGTGAAGGTGTGCACTACATTCGTCTAGTTCAGGATAGAGAAGAGTTATCGCTGTTGTGACCATAATAATAAACCTTCGGATTCCATTTTCTTGGGTGACGGCATCTGTTGAAATCTCGAGGGGAAATGAGCTCACTCAAGTTAGTTATTATAAACTCCAGGGCCGCGCAATAGCTCAAGCTGTTAGTCGCTGGCTTCCCACTGCGGCGGCCCGGTTTCGAGCCCGGGTCTGGTCAAGTGGGGTTTGTGGTGGACAAAGTGGCGCTGGGGCAGGTTTTCTCCGAGTACTTCGGTTTCCCCTGCCAATCTTCATTCCAACAATTGCTCCACAATCACCCTCACCTATCATCTGGGGCTGGTACAATAGGCCAGAAGTGGCCGCAGTGCAAGGGATTTAGTCCCACCCCATTAGCAATAAAGAAAATATTATAAACTCCACAGCAATAAATTAATTCTATTCAGTTCTTTAACGATTACCGCCTTTTGAAGCCTAATGATTCGTCACTTTCACCACAAAATTTCTCCCTTTGTCCTTTAAACTAGGCCTACTTGGTTTAGTGATTATAAGGTTTTACTGAACCAAAATATATTTTTTTTTCTGTATGGGTCCTATTGGTTTTCCACATTTTCTTTAATGGTAAATCATGGTTGCTGTTCTTACAGAAGCGATAAAAAGTTAACATGTGAGCCTTAAGTGGGGCCCAACTTCGCGATTAATATTTCATAGTAGGTCTTTCAGTATAGTAACAAAATAAACAATTCTTTTCAGGTACTTTCTAACTTATAATCTATATGGGAAAGCTGGGTATTTTCTATGAGCTTCTGTATTGACGTCGAAATATTCAGATTTCAGTTCTACAATTAAACGTTATAATAACTGAAAATTATCATAATTTTCTTCAGCACACACATGTAAATTTTGGGATAGTACATTCGGTCACTTCAAATTAAACATTTTCTAATTTATATATTGCAAATGCCTTCATAATTCCGCGTTACATAACTCACGTAACTGAGAATTCTTATTTTAAATACGCATATGTATAACACAATCGCATTCACAGACATCATATAATCTAACTCTACCATATATTCCACGGCTCTTTCAGTTGATATAACGTCATTGTATAATTTACAATACTGTACTTCAGCATCATGTATTACTATTAAACACTTATAAATTTCAATATATCTTACAACTTAGTTTGGGCACCGCAAATGTATTGACAGGAATTCGTTAACAAAGTACATATATGAAAGAAATTTAAAAGCCCAACAAAGGAAAAGGGTGTTACTAGTCTACGTAATGTTGCTGTCATGGTAGTGTTAGACAAGCAGAAAATTTTATATTAAGATGTTTTCAGCTTACACAATCTTTCCTCATTAGAATTTCCGAGAAAGAGAAGGTCAATAGTCCCAAGAAACTGACACCATAAAACAAACAAAACCGTTGCTTATTTCTTAGTCACACAAGAATGTGCAGTTCTTCATGCAGCGCGTTAAACACTGGTTTAGACTATCAAATATTTTCTTCGACAACAAAGTAAAGCGTCTATACTCAGATTCACAAGACAGTTCGATACCATCGATTCAAGAATTTCAAGTATTAATTGTAATAGAAAGCAATAATTTCTATATTTTCAGATTAAGAAAAATGATCGAAAGACATTTTTTTATTGCTACTGGTGTGGGACTAAGTCCCTTGAACTGCGGCCACTTCTGGCCTATTGTACCAGCCCCAGATGATAGGTGAGGGTGATTGTGGAGCAACTGATGGAATGAAGATTGGCAGGGGAAACCGAAGTACTCGGAGAAAACCTGGCCCAGCGCCACTTTGTCCACCACAAACCCCACTTGACCAGACCCGGGCTCGAACCCGGGCCGCAGAGGTGGGAAGCCAGCAACTAACGGCTTGAGCTGTGGCGCGGCCATCGAAGGATATTACTGACTTACATGTATATATGATTGTCGTACAGCATTTTCGATATAATTTAGTACTGAAGATAATCGTACATGAAAAGTACATTTTCTTTATAAAGTCAAATATTGGAGAAAAATTTTAAAGGGAACATTTTCGTGTCTTAGACTCTATAATTTATTATAAAACGGGCTGCCGTTTGTATATTTCGATATTTTGCATTGGAGATTAAGATAATTTATGATTTTAACATGGGGAAGTTAATTACACTTTTAACTCATTTATAAAGTAACCACTCTCCAAGTAAAATCAGAGTGATCAAGTCAAGAGGATCAGGTGGGCAGGGCATGTAGCACGAATGGCGGAGACGAAGAATGCATATGTGATATTGGTGGGAAAGCCAGAAGGAAAGAACCACTAGGAAGGCCAAGGCGTATGTGGGTGGACAATATTAAAATGAATCTTAGAGCCACAGGATGGGATGGGATGCATTGGCTTGATCTGGCTCAGGATAGGGACCAGTG